ACACATATGAATTGGCGGACAATATGTGGGGCGAGAACTCAGTTCCGCAGACAAAAGTGTTGCCATTAGTAGATGTGGTCATAACTCACGGCGGGAACAACACTATCTCCGAAACCTTTAGTTACGGCAAACCAATGATTGTAATGCCATTATTTGGTGATCAATACGATAACGCACAGAGAGTTATGGAAAAGGGATTTGGGATTAGACTTAATCCGCAGACCGTTTCGGAACAGGAATTGCTTAACTCTATTGAAAAACTATTAAATGATAAGGAATTGAAACACAAATTATCTGTCGCTTCAAAACGTATGCTTAACTCCAATAGCCTTCAAAAAGCGGCCGAAAATATTGAAAATCTTATTCAATGATTGAATGAATTTTCTTAGACTTATTGCAAACTTTAATCATTTGTTACTTTTAACACATTTATTAATTGATTTTTGTTTATCATTTAAAGATCAATAAAATATAAAACCAAAATTAATAAATATTATAATATAAAAAATAAAATTCTTTAACGTTTAGCGTTTAGCTCGATTATTGATTACATAATTAAACATACAGTTAAACACAATTTACAAAATGTTGTAATACAACAAAAGTAATTATCAGTAAATGGTATATAAAGTCCATTATTGATAGATTTTTAGTGCATTGAGTTATTTAGTAATAAATAAAGTATTTCAACATATAAATTTAAAATTATTTGTATAAGATTTTAAGGATAAACAAAATTGGTCAAAAAATATAAATACAGTGTTACTCGGATATAAACGGCTCGTTTATAAGGCTAATCCGTTTATATTCAAGATTTTTGAAAATTAACAATATAAAATATTTAAGTAAATATCAGATCCGTTTTAAACAAATATTATGAAATATTAATACTTTATTTATCTCTATATTACTCAATGAAGTACAAAATTTCTATATACCATTTACTGCTAAATATTTCTGTTGTGGTTTTGCACTAATAAATTGCACTAAATTGATTTTATCAAAAATGTGTGGTTTTAAATATAATTTATTAATAATAATTTTTATTGTAAATTCAAGCCATTTTGACGTAATAATGTTTGTTGAAATGTTTTAGTATAAATTCAAACAACATTTGTAACAAATTAATTATACGTTCAACTATCTGTTAACTCAAAATCAAAAATTGGTTAATTAATTGCAAAAATGATACAAAAGTTAACGATATTGTTTGCGCCGATGGAAGGCGTGGGACACGTGAATGCGTGCATAGGTTTGGCTGAAGTACTGCTGAGTCGGGGCCACAAAGTGGTGTTCGCTGTCGACCAGTCATATGCGGGAAAGTTATCGCCGTTTGGTTTCATTGAAGAAATAATAACTTCAGAGGAAACTAAAGGTAAAAAGCCCGGAGAAGACATTGCCATAAAATTGGTGGCATCGGGACTACTGTCCGCTAAAACATCGTTAGAATCGTTAAAAAGTATGAAATCTGTGCCGTTAATGGATGTAATGCTACAGAAATTTAAAGACAATGAACCACAGCTTAAAGCTATTGTAGCCAAACATAATCCCGATGTGTATATCATCGATGACTTCTTCGGCTCTCCGACACTAATCCACTCAAACAAACCCTGGGTTTTGTTGTGTAGCGGAAATCCATTATTTTATATCAATGATGAGAGGACTCCACCGCCCGGTTCTGGTCAGTAGCTTTCATATGATCTAAAATATAGATTCAATTTATAAGAAACTTTTTACTAATTTATTTATATATAAATTCAGGTTATCCTTCAAACGGAGACCGAAAAGAATGGGAAGAATTCAAAGAACTAAAAAACAATAGCTTTAAAAGTCATGCCATTAAATACAATAAATGGATGAAAGAGGAAGGCTTTCCCATCACTACTAATAATAAAGCTATGCCTGACTCGCCGTATCTTAATATCTATGGATATCCCAAAGAATTGGATTATTTAGATCTCAGACCACTTCCAGAGAAGTGGTTAAGAGTCGACGCATTCATGAGAAGAGGAGAGAAAGAAGAGTTTAAAATTCCCGATAAATTTCGTGACAGAGATATAGAGAAAAGTAAATTAATTTATTTGTCATTGGGTTCTATGGGTTCAGCAAATGTGGATCTAATGAAGAAATTGGTGTCTATTCTCAGCAAAAGTCAGCACAAGATTATTGTCTCGAAGGGAGTTCTCGGAGACACATATGAATTGGCGGACAATATGTGGGGCGAGAACTCAGTTCCGCAGACAAAAGTGTTGCCA